AAGTACAGCCCATATCATAACAGTCTGGCCTGTACATAAAATATACAGGACGGACCGTAGTCAAACTGTAATTCCTTACAGCATTTTTAACAGTGCTGGTTGTAAGCTGCGCAGGTGTGGGCCAGCGGAGTGATAACCTCGACTACGGTCTTCCAACTGTTTCGCGTTGTGGGGGTCTTCCTCCAGCTCTCGTACCTCAGCCAGGAGCTGTCCGACTCGAGCCTGCACCTCGGGGGCTCCGCCTACCGCGCCGCCACCGGCAGCGGCACGGGGCTGGCGGAGGCCCGCGCCCTCGTCCTGGTCATGCTGGCCGCGAGCAGGCGGCCGGCCCTAAGCTGCAAGGGCCTGGGCCGGCTCAGCCTGGCCTCCGCGGGGCACGCTTTCCGCCAGCTGTACTCGGTCGTCAACGTGCTGAAATCACGGTACTAGAAGGCACTGCCAAGACCTGTGCCGTGCAAGAGATCGTCCGTTTTCCTTAGATTGCTTCGGCAAATCTCGTGGGCGGGTCGCCTGCGAGGCTCCGGGTAGGCCAGCCCGCAGCACACACATGCACTGTGATGCAAGATATTGCCCACCCACCAGGCGCGATAAGAGCTTGAAGAGGCTGAACTTGGCAAACTCGTGACGGCGAATGGCGGACGTACTTTCTGAATAATCCGAGGCCGAGGCGTCACCTACTTGACAACTCGTTGTACACGAGGAAAAGAACTCCCTAAATACTCGCGATAACTCGAACAAAACTCGCGACAACTCGCGAAAACTCGCGAGAGGAAAATCGAGAAATACTTGCCAAATACCCGCCGAAACTGTGGCAACTCATTGGAAGTTCGCCTTTTGAGCCACGCTTACCTGGGCGTTTAAGGGGCGGGGGACCAGCGCGGAAACAGGATGGCCCGGATGGCCCCGGGATGCCCCGCTCTCTCACGAAAAGTCATCATTATTTGAGCCGCCCCACAAGAGCCGGGTCACAGGCAGGGGTGGGTAATACCTAGGTCAACCTAGGTAGTACAGTACCTAGGTAGAACAGTACCTTGGTAGTACAGTACCTTGGTAGTACAGTACCTTGGTAGTACAGTACCTTGGTAGTACAGTACCTAGGTAGTACAGTACCTTGGTAGTACAGTACCTAGGTAGTACAGTAGGTAGTACGAGTACCTAGGTAGTACAGTACCTAGGTCAACCTAGGTAGTGCAGTACCTAGGTAGTACAGTACCTAGGTAGTACAGTACTAGGTCTAGGTAGTACTTTTATCGCTACCTTACCTTAGCTAACATAATGAGCTACTAGCCAGGACCTTCGGTCCTTATGCTGATCTCGCCTCTCTCTCTCCCTATATATATGCCTAACGATAGGCAATAGCGATGATAGGTTAGGTAATAGAACATAGTTTTTGCAACTGCTACTGCTAGTAACTTTTAGTCTATTGCTATAAGCTATTCCGTAGCGGTGACCGGAATTGGCCCAGAAAAGTCTGCCCTAGAGCTTCGCTCGCTTCGCGAGCTCAGCAATTAAAGCAAAATACCGAATAATAATAACTCAACTGAACATCCAAATTTGCACACGTATTTCACAGCGGGGTACAACCACAGTCCATAAGCTAGGATTGTATTAGTAAGGGTAGGAATCAATGGTTGTATGCTTTACGGGGTCCGTACGGTTTGTATGTGCACGTAAGCAACTTCTATGTGCTGTATGTACTGCGCTTGGATTTTTTTTGGAAGCCTTTGTGTTCCATTTTTGTGTCATTGGATGTGGATGCTGCCCTGTACGGGGGTCGTACGGTTTGTATGTACACGTATGAAACCCGTATGTAACGTACGGCGATTCATGTCAGGCGCCTATACGGCGACCGTATGCACACGTCTAGGTTCGCATAGGTACGGGACCCGTATGCACTCGCACGGATTGTACGTGTCTCGCATATAGGACCTATGCAAACGAAATTTCACGGGGGAGGCATAACGCCGAGCCCAGGTCGTGTCACACTTCCTGTCAAGTCTCGGGATCTCCCCGGCCCCCGGCCCCCGGCCCCCGGCCACCACACATTCACCCTCGAGACCGTGGTCTACGGCGGGTCTGCCCAGCCACGCCCAGCCAACGGGGAAAATGTGACGCCCGCTCCCGCTGCACAGCTACTGTTCTGTTGTACCTGGTGGGGACTCACGCCCACGCCGCGCACTTTTGTAGTTCCACTGCACCGCATGCACGCGTGCGGGCGGGTTGCCTACACTGAAATGTGGGGTGTCAAAAATGTATACGCCAAAGGGCGTATGCTACAGGATCCCGAGCAACATTTGGCTTATTTGAGACATCTTTTGGCGTATTAATTCAATACATCTTTGCCCATACGATTCCCACTGCACAGCCGATGCCCTTTGATACATACACTCTGAAAGGCGCTCACGTCCTGTACCGGGTGCAGCTGTGAATACGCAGCAATGCTGCGGGTTTGCTTACTCTTTACACCCGTAAGGGGCTGTGGCCCCTGAAGCCATATAGAGAAGGCAATCCCGCAACACTGCTGCGCATTCACAGTTATACCCGGTACACACTCACACTTGCATGCTCAAAGCTGGGGTGCGTTGAGTTAAAGCTCGCACACGCGAGCTCGCGACATACATCATACGAGTGGTCCAGAGTTTGGAGGGTCGTGACATTGCCCCAGTAGTACCACAGGTCCCGGTTGTTCTGGTCGTGGTAGCCGCGCCATAACACGTCCTTGTACAGAGGATGGCCGTGATGGCCGCAGTGGCGGATTAAGGTCCGGCTGACAGGGGGGGCGATGTACTGTCGGTTGCCTACATACAGGGGTTTTGTGGTGCAAATTGCCTACCTTTCAGGCGGCTATCTAGAGACGACAGGGGGGGCGATCGCCCCCCCCCCTTAATCCGCGCCTGGATGGCCGGGCAGCGTTCGGCGTGGTCGGGAACGATTCGGAAGGGGCCCTATGCAACAACAACACAACTACCAAACATTACTTAGGCTTGGAAATATCCAAAATTTTCCGAAAAATTTCCGAAAAATAACGAAAAACTTCGACAGTCTGGGAAATTTTCCACTCTTCCCAGAAATTTTACGTTTTTCCCGAAATTATCCTGAAATTTCCCGTACACTTTCCAGGGCTTCCAACCCTAGCTTTACCTCAAGTGTAGAGCACTTGAACTTCTACTTACAGTGTATACACTCTTATGTAAATGTGCAACAGTCTTTCACTGTCCTCACTGCAAAGTTATTGATGAACTGAGTCGCCGCCGCTGGGGTGCCCGACCAAGGCGACGACGTCCGGTACTCGACCAGCAGTGAGGTTGTCCAGTTAAGACGGATCCGTGCGGATCCGTGCGGACGCACACGGATTGTGCGGAACTTTGCGGACGCACGTTTTAAAACGCATTGGCAGGTCTAAAACTGGTTGCATATGTGTTGACTAACATATATTTGGATAAAGGAACATTGTTCAACAAAAATAATGTCACTTTTTAGCCATATGTTTATAAAGTACTGTAAAACCTCCATAGAATAAAATGGCTCAAAAGTGGCATTATTTGTATAGAACAATGTTCCTTCTTCCAAGTATATGTTAGTCAACACATATGCAACCAGTTTTAGACCTGCCAATGCGTTTTAAAACGTGCGTCCGCAAAGTTCCGCACAATCCGTGAGCGTCCGCACGGATCCGCACGGATCCGTTTTAACGGGACAACGTGAGTAGCAATAGATGCAGCGCGGCGAGGCAGCCAACGCCGAGGGTCAGCTTGAATGTGCACACGGAGCACCGTATTGTAGTGGGCGCACCGACCCTGACACGTGTCTCATATCGAGATTGGCGAGGGCTTTTGTTTTAGCGCCTGCGATGGCTGAAGGAGACGAGCTGGAGCAGCACGCGATATTAGTGGGTAAGGTCCTTTGTTTTAGTTTGTTAGCCGGCCCGATCCGCGGCCGTGTCGCATTTTCTTTGATTTCGAGTCGTTTTGTGGGAAGGTCCTCTCCCTCCCAGCTTCGACCCCCTCCCCCAAATTAGTCTGAACGCTCTGCAGGGTTGTCGGACCGCAGCCACTACTCTGTTGCTACGTTCCTGTGACAGGCCGGTGTTTTCGCAAACGACCATGTCGTCGGGCCAGCATCCAATGTCACTATGCGATCCCAAGAACAAAATATTGTTGTTGCAGTGATATCATGTTGTGGTTGGTATACTTTGACTCATTTTTCTTTGCGTGTTATAAAATAAAAGCAATACCCGTTGACATTTTTGTTGACTCTTAAACATACCCTCGATTAGGGAATTCTGTTGCCTTCGTACGTTACATCAACATCATCATGTCGTCGGTATACTATGACTCATTTTTCTTTGCGTATTATAAAATAAAAGCAATGCCCGTTGACATTTTTTGTTAACTCCTAAACCCAAACCCTCGATTAGGGAATTCTAGTTGCCTTCGTACGTTACATCAACTTCCCCCCACGCGCCTTGTAGCCCCTCTTTGCCTCCTGGTAGAGACGGTCGTTGAGTCATGGATACACGAAAAAAAAAGAATGTGCTGTCAGAGCTAGCGAATTAGCTGATTCCGGGACAGGTAATCGCGATGATCTCTAGTAAGTGAAAATTTAGCAATGTGAGCCAATTATTAGCTGCCTTAGCAAAAATTAGCTAGCTGTGCACTTGCAAGTGTGCAACTCCAATGTTGTACACTTGCAAGTGTTCACCTCCGTCGGTGTGCACTTGTAAGTGTACAACTTCTCTGTTACAGTTTGGCGGTGCACCATTCGATCCGTTTTATGTACACTGGAAACACAAAGGAAGGGTGGGAGTGAGAGAGTATTAGAGCGTGCAGCGTCCTTGCAGTCTCACTGCGAATAAAGTCATCACGGAGAAAAATAATTAGTTCATCCAACTCATACGTGGGTTGATATAGGAATCACTAACGCTGTTGGGTTGTGAGAACGAAC